TGACTTATAACGATATTTCACTTGAATCTTTATTAGTTTAAAAAATATAAGCGCGTCACTAATCATGTATTTTATTTGCATATTGTATTTTATGTATGAGCATAATTTTTATGATGATGATTATCATCATCGTCGTCGTCGTCGTCGTATAGTCACCATCGACATCATTATCATCATTATTATTATTATTAAATTTATATATTAATTAGCCCTATTTTAATAGATCATTTTTTAGTTTAATAGTTTAATTGGTTTAATGTATTTGATAAAAGCTTTTAAAATATTTTTATAAAGGTATTGAGCATAAAGTAAGTTAATTTTATGCTTGTGAAATTAATGTAACACAAAAAAAATAAAAAAATACTTTATTGTTGTAAGAAGCTGATCAAAGCAAAAAATCCGTTTATTTTTAAATAAAATCTAATATCTCGTTGAACTACAAAAAGTACATAAATTAAGTAATTAATATTACAATTATTCAAGACTAATTTATAAGAAAAATATTGCGATTATAATACCAGAAGTTTTAAATGTTACAAAAATACAATGATAATTATAATTAATTATATAGTAACAGTTACAACTGCGATTAATCTGACTTCATATATATATATATATATATATATATATTCAGGCACATGTATGCAAATATACGCGCGCGTGTACGCGCTCGTCTCTATATGATAATATAATATGAATATAAAATGATATCGAATTTAAAGTGTTTTCAACTCAGTTGAATTTATAGAATGTAATAACTTTGAATTATGAAATACGATTAATCTAATTAAATTAAAAAATGAATTATTAATAAATCTCTTTTTAATAACTAAGAACAGTTGGCATAAGCCAACATCAGAATATCAATGATTAGGTAAATAAAGTCATCTACATCATAGTTAATGGCCGTTTAAATTTAATATTATAATTTTAATTTGGAGAAATCTATATTTAATATTTTTCTCAATTAATTATAAAAAAAACAGGATAAAATATATAGTATAAAGTGTCATGCTATTGTAACTTTAAATTTTTAAATTAACATTGTAAATTGGTGGTTATATTATTTCAGCGCGTATTAGTATTAATGCACTTTTTTTGTAAACAAATATTGGTCCTTGAAAAATTAAAAATATTTGTTTCACAAATTATTAATTATGAAATAAATATATTAATATTCATTTATCAAATTGGAAATTTTATCAATTCTAATTATAATTCTAACAATAATCATGCCGTTATTATATCATATATATAAAAACCGTAAATTATTTCAAGATAATTAATTTTGATGGTGTTATATTATGTATTAAAATTCATTTAATATGAAAACTTTAAATGAACATCATTAATTTAAACATTTTAAAGAAACATTATTAATTTAATAAAGTGAACCTTATAATCATTGAATTTCACATAGTGGAAAATGATTTTGTAAGTATAGATTATAAAAAATTATAAAAAATTTTATGAAAAAGACGTAAATGAAACAAATATCTTTTACTTATAGTCTCAATTAAACCAATAGGTTATTCAAAAATATCATTTTATTAAACAGATTCTAATTTTGCGTGCAGTTTAATATTTATATTATTTTCATAAATGACATATCCACACACGCGCGCGCGCACACACACACACAACACAACACTCGCGTATTTAAATATACGTAAATATACATGTATATTTAAATATATATTTTAAATAATAGAACAAGGAAAGAATAATGCGTATGTATCATATCTTTATTTATTTAATTTTTTGTAAAATAAATGTAATCATTTTATACTGGTTCAATAAAGTTAAAAAAATATTCTGCAAATTTAGATTTTGATTTTGGTACATATTTAAAATTGATATATATTTTCCAATAGCTTTTCATTAAGATAAAGATTAATTTTTAGTTTAAATTTATGCTACTATACCTTACTTAATAAAATAGTCAATTGAAAATATCATATCCATATTAATAAATATTTTTAATAGTTATTCAAATCGATATTAAAATATTTATTATTATTGTAATAAATTTCTGTCTCTAATTCTAAAGGCTAATTTCGTTATTTCAAAATTAAATTCTTCTTATACTTCTAAGATACTTCAATTGATACTAAAATTTAATCGAAATATAATTGAATCTATTTTCATATAAAAATGTTTTGTAATTTTAAGTAATATTTAAATGTAGAAAGATTTTTTATTGAAAACAATGTTAAGCTTTAATTCCCCAAAGCTCTTATCTCATATATAAATATTTAATTTATAAGCTGACATTGTATCAAATGAAATATATTTGCATTAAAACCGAAAATAGACTTTTACAGCTATTTAATTATAATGCATATACATTAAAATAACCTATTTATCAGGACAAATTATTTTTAAAAAGATTTACATTTTGAATAATCGAACTTTCTATGACATTTTTTCTACAGAAACGTAGTTCATTTAGATTAAAATTTGAAAACTGTTTTTGTCAGGCTAATTAAAATTCACATAATAATTCAACTTAAAAATTACTTCATACGATACCGAATTAATTTTAATTTGTATAGAATAATTGCGAATAACATAATTATTTATTATTTAACGGTAAATAAGCAAATAAATACGTAGGCATAAATATCGATTTGTAATATTTAGCAATGATTTAAATAAACGTGTTTAGTAATTAATAGTTGTAGATCTATAGTTAAGGACGATTGATTTTCTAAGAAAGCAACTTACTAGGCTGCATTTTAATTGCCCTTATCGAGTGAAAGGGTACAAGGTACGAGATGGAATTTAATTCTCCAAGCCTTCATGTACTCCCACGCCCTTAAATTTCATTGTCATTAACGTAGTCGAATATTAGTTTAAGGGAATATCGCAACGAGCTAAAATCGTTATTGCTTACCGCTCCTTCATACTTCTTTAATCCGCTGAGTCATAAGCTAATAGATGAGGGTCATAACTTTGCAAAAATACGTTAGCTCGCTAAGAAAGAGAAAACAGCTGTCGAATAAGAAAATCGTGGTGGCGGCGGCGGCGGCGGCGGCTGCGGATACAGCTACGGTGACCGCATACTTCGGCCGAAAGTGCCCACATTTTCCATAATAAATACGATACGTCAAGTCCGTAAAAGCGGTAACCCCAAAAATATCCCCGGAAAAGCCCCCGAAGGTGCGAGAGCGGCGCAGCGGGGCATTGGGTGACACGGAGTCGCTCGCTCGGCTGCAAGAGAAAAGGAAGGAGCCAGTCGTGGTGGACTCGTACGAGCCGCGTGACCCGGTAGCCGGCGGCAGTATCGTCGTCACCGTCGGCGCCTTCTCCCTTCCACCCTCCCTCCCTCGAGCTCTCTCACTCTATTTTTCCACACCCACGGTCGCACACTGCGGCGGCTATCCGTACCCCCACCACCTTCCGCGGCGCGACGGCATGCAAGCAGTCCGGCTGACGCATTGCAGGTGCGCGCCGACCAATCACCAGTGCCGTCGTCCTCGCTCCCTCTCCATCGCTCACTCACGCTCTCTCTTTCTCTCTCTCACTCTCTCATGTTCCCGGGCGGGTTCGAGTCATGACGGCGCACACACGCGCACGATCGTCTTCCCGTAAACAAGGACCGCGCCCCTGCAATAATGAAGTGTCCGAGAGAGAGAGAGAGAACGCGAGTGATAGGAAACGAGGGCTGCGCCGGTCCAACGCTGCTCCCATCCTCGGAGGCTCGTCCTTTTAGGCATTGGTGGTGGGCCGCGCCTATGGAGGAAGCTCCTCGCCTGGGCTTAATCTTGGCGCGTCGGTAAAACAGCGAGTCCATGGCGTTACTTTGGCGCGGCGTAGGCGAAAATTCCTCTTCTCGCTCCTGAATGCGTACACGAGGTTGACCCCTTCAGCCCCTCCGCAACCCCACCCCCTCCATCCCAGACCAGTTCTCCTATACGGACGCCCGCAGGCCATCACTGAACCACAGGAGAGCTCGTGCCTTCCCTGAAACATCCTCTGAATGCTGATTAGCGATTAGATTCAACTTCGACACACGTTCTATGAGTGTATTCTTTATCATTTTTAGCATGGTGGTTCGGCCCGAAGGTTACCAAACTACAAAAGCAAGATGTTCAAGGCAAATAATACTCGGACGTATTTGCCTACATGTGTATTGCAAATGGCACATGCAAATCGCTGGCGTAGTAACACCAATTCGTTGGTTAATTCAACTCCATCATACTCTTGATACTGCCTACCTCTCCGCTCCGACTTCTCACCTACCCATGCGCACATGCACACACACACGTAGTTGCGTATATACAATCCTTCAGTATATTACATTTGCTCGCCCGCGCATTGTCGATAGGTTCGGAGGATCTACAGCTGATCAGCTGCCTGAGAATTCTTCGTACTCTCCCTCCGTTATTCTCTCGTTCTCTCTCTCTCTCTCTCTCTCTCTCTCTCTCTTACTTATAGTCTCCATTTCTGTATAACCCCCTTGAATGCCGTGTCGCGGCAAAACATTGGCGGTGCTGCGAAAAATCGCGACGACGGCGGCGTGGAGCAGAAGAAATCGGGAGACTCGCTCGACTGTTGCGACGACCTCCCCCTCATCAACACATACACACACACGCGCGCGCGCGCGCGCGGGCATCCCCTCTCCCTTGCAATGCCACAACGCCAATCGCAAGCACCGCTCACGTTCGCACTCGTTCAGGCTATCTCTTGTTCGTCTACCCCCACCAGGGTTCCGGGGTTCTGATACACACGCGCATACGCGCGCGCGCGCAATTCGTCGGCGAGTACCGGTGCGCGGGCTCATGGAACCATTTTCTCTCGCTCTCCCGCGCACTTTCCATCATTGTCTCTCTCTTACCACGCGAATAGCAGCAGCAACAGCAGCAGCGGCAGCGGCAGCGGCGGCGACGACGGCTGCGGCGGCAGCTGCGGCGGCTCGGACGGCGGCGGTGGTGGCGGTGGCGGTGACGGCGGCCGCGACGATCAGCAGTCTTTCGGTGCTTTCCGAAGGTTAGTTGGTAAAAGTCGACAGACTTTTCGGATCTCGGTCGCCATCGTGTACATTGTGTACGTCGCCGCGCACGCCGTCGTTCTTTGGAGCTCAAGCTAACCGTCGCTTCATCTCTCCACCAGGAGTTCGTAGTAGCCAAGGAAACGAGGAGAGCGAGCAACGAGAAGAGGCGCGAAGGAAACGAGTGCGAAACTATTCGCACGGTTGTGTGGGCCGCGCACTCGCGCGTACGTGTACACCCATACGCGCTCGCATTAGCTAAAGAGAGACAGACGTACGCACCGTCGTCGGCTCATCCTCGTGTTTCTTCGTACAATTTCAGTCGTGCTGCGACACAACTCGCGTACGGTGTGTGCGTAAGACTTTCCACTTCCTTTCGCTTGTCTTTCCTTTTTTTTTGGTTTTCTCGTGAAGGAGCGAGGAAGCGGGAGTAAGAGAAAGAGAGACAGAGAAGCGCGAGAAGGGATTATAGCAGTGCGGAAGAGGGAGTGTGAGAGATAGATAGAGAGAGAGAGAGAGAGAGAGAGAGAGAGAGAGAGCGAGAGAGCAGCGAATCTCCCGCAAATTTTAGCGTACGTTTGCCGGACGACGCGCGCCCAGGAGTTTTCCGGCTCTTCCGTATTCGAAGAGAAATCACAAAGCATCAATGGTGAGTACGCGATAAACTTTCTTCTGTGTCTCTTCGTTTGCACCTCGTATGCCAAAGTCGCCGTAGCCTTTACGCGATACGCGTCAACGCGGAAACGGGCGCGATTCTCAAGAAGCTCCGACAAATATGTCGCCGCGCTGCCGCCGTCTCGCGAGGTTCGTCTGCCCGTACACACACGCACGCATTAATGCAAAAAACAAATTCGTTGCTGTTGGCCGTGGGAGAAAGAGAGAAAGAGAAAGCGAAAGAATTTTAGCCTCGTCCCAATGTCGAGGAGAGCGGAAATCGATCGATCGAACGAACGAATGGACGGATGGATAGGTGGATGGATGGATAGATGGATAATTGCGAGTCTGGCCGAGTCTCTTTAACTACGGAGGGACGTTGGTGAGGATGGCTGCGCCAGCCGGGATTCACGTATGCACGTGTTCGAATCAATCTTGAGAGGCAATCTATCTCTTTTACGGCTTACTCCACATCGATATACCACTGCTTTGGTATTTCGTTCTCGCCGTGGCCGAGCTTCGCGATTGGCTAATACGAGAACCATTTCCGCCGGAATCCACACGCATTTGCGAGACTAGAATTTCGACTGAAATACTTAAAATATAACCTGCAAAGTATGTTGATTATACGATAGACAAGGCGGCCGATCAGAAAATACCACCCCCATTATCTCCTATTATTATATGCATTTTTCGTATAAACATACGTACGCGTACAAGGCATTCATAGATGCACATACTTGAACGTGCGCGCACGCACGCACGCACGCACGCACGCACGCACGCATACGTGCCATCGTACGTGTATGCGTGTAGAAAGAGAGAGATAGCGATAGAGCGAGCGAGAGTGAGTAATGTCTTGTAAAATTTTTTTTATTTTAATTTTCCTAGTCGAATTGAACACACCCTATATTTAAATACAAAACAGTTTTTAAATATTTTTTGGATTACACCATTTTTGTGTGTGTCGCCGTGTTTAGATACTGACTGATTATCGATACACGTACATGTCCAAGTGTCGAGCGTCGTACGCGTTTGCCATGGAATTTTCACGATTAAATTGAATATCATATGTTGCATCGTTGAAGGGATGCGGATCGTTGCGTCGATGGGATTGATGGCGATGTATGGGACAGGGTGGGGTGGAGTGGAAAAGCAACGTTGTAAAGCTGGAAAATCGAGGGGAGATAATAGAGCTGATAGACTTGGAGATAGACCACAGCGCCGAGTTGGGTGGAAGATAAAGATGGAGAGAAATGCGGCTAATTTCGGTGTGCGCGCCCCTGTCTCTTTCTCCCATTCTTCCACCCTGCCCCCCCCCCCCATCCCTTTTTTTTCTCTCTCTTTCTCTTCTATTCCTCTCTTACCTCTTCCATTGCTACATCCCGTGCATATCGCCGGCTAATATTTCCAAAAAAGGAGTCTATACAACCGTTGCTTATTCACTGGGCTGTACGCGCGCGTAAACGATGTTGGGCAAACAATTTGGCGTGCGAGTGACTGTCGGAGGTGCGTTTTTCGATTCTTTTCTAGCGCTTCCCCCTCCGACTTCTATAATCGTCTTTATCGCCGTTATATCCTTCGCCTCGCGCGCTCAGTTCCGATTTTACTCTCCGTCTCACTTTCACGCACACGTTCACGATCTATAGGACACAGAGAGGCGCGCGCGCGCGCGCTCTTACATCGACTCGAGTTTTCTCGAGTTTGCCGCTGCGTAGGATCGCGGCGCCCGTGGCCATACACATCTACTTCCTTCTCAATGAAAACGGCGAATATTTATTGCATTTTTCATTCGTTTGCCATATTACTCTTTATCGAGGCACAATTGCCAATGATTAAGTAGGAGTCATGTTCGCGACGAAAATTATGCTCCCGCGATGTTTACCTAGCTATTTTCGCCCATTATCCGTCGATACGATAAGAGTTTGTCGGTTAGGTGTGCGTGTGGCGCGGGGTGGGGTGCGTGGAAGTGGAGGATGAAGAGAGTTAGAATTCGCGTGCTATTCCATCATTGATGGATGGCGCCAAGTGTTAATAGCATCTCTAGATGTGTGAACATATAACTAATTGTAACGGATGACCAATAGATTATGTATTTTACAGTAGTACTTGATTGTCCGACCTAAGAAATTGACATACGCATGTAGGTCTAGTTACTCGTGTTTACAAGAGGCTTCCAAAGCTGCTGGAACGAATCTTTTTTAAATTTACGTGTAACGTTTTTAGCACTTACCGACCAATAGATGGCGAGACTGGAGACTCGCGTGTGGATAAACTGTTACCGCGGCGTTATAACGAATTTTATGGAATGTAAATTAATACATCGTTATGTACTAATCTTTAATGAAATGTTAATTGTCTTTTAATCGAAGAGTAACTCCACCTACCAATCACTTGTTTCTCCCGATTTAAATCGACTCTTACCCTCTTAGTTCGATGCGTCAAAGAAGTGCCTTTTAAATTTTCGAACGTTAAGGACTCACATTATATACCTACAAAAAATTAAATAACATTTCATAAATGTATCGAAATTTAGATAATAAGAATAACCGGTGGAATAAACGATGAATTCTTCCAATTTCATTAATACACAAATACAAGAACATCACAACGGAAAGTGGATTGTGCAAATTCCTAACAATTACAATGACCATACCAATAGATCACGATTCACGCTTGTTTATTCGCTCATTATATCGACATTATTACAGGTATAAAAAAAATGTATTTTAAATAAATCTGAACGAACTAGTGTACTCAAAATAGGAAGTAGAGAAATAAACTTTATGTATGAATGAACAACGCATCTCGTAATGCAAACGACTGACCATTGATATTTAAAAAGTGTTACAATAATAATCCTAAATTGATCTACATAAATAATTTTTGTGTTTAATCGTTAATAATATAAAGCGAGAGAGAAAGAGATTCAAGAAGGGATGAGTTCGACTGTCGGTTTACGCGAAGTGGGGATTGAATTCAAGTGAAAGCAGAGAGAAAGACGGAAAATCGCAACGGGGTAGAAACGTCCAAGGCGGTGGCGCGTCGAGTCGACGTAGTGGTTAGAAGGAAAGAGAGAGAAAGAGATGGCGTTAGCCTTGGGGAAATCTGTCAGACTGGGTGCTCTCCGGGACACATACTCGGAGTAGTTGCGCGAAACTAGTGTCGGCAAAGTTGAAATCCACGACGAGCATATTTTTCTACTTGGTGGTCTCACATTGTAAAGAGAAAGAGAGTGAGAGAGAGCAGAGAGTATATACACGCGCGTAAATATAAATACGAATTTACGATTCTCATTTTCGACTTGCGCGCGCGCGCGCATTTGTACATATTTAAGAAAAGTAGTGGGAAGAGGGAGAGAGCGAACGGGCGAACGAGCGACGAGCGAACGACATACGCAGTCTTCTTGTATGCCAATGTGGCCTTCTGGCGGAGCATTGCGGAACTAACAGTTGCAAAAAACGAATCTTTTCGCGTCGCGCTCTCACCGTGATACTATATACGTACCAATTAACGCACAATTTATCGATCGATGTAAATATACGAATAAAATAGAACGGATTAACTCTACTTGTGCACTCGCGTCGTAATAAAGGGAGGAAAAGCTGTGAGGTAAGTAGAAGGAAGCGGATAAGGTGGTGGTGGCACGCAAACACGGCTTGAGAACGGATTGATTGAGCCCAAGAAGAGAGATAGAAGGCTGACGAGGTCGGCGGATTAAAGAGGGTACAAAAGGGGCGTTTTCTCTCGTCCAGGGCATCGTTGCTCCATTTTCCTAACGTTCACTAGACATCTGGTACAGGAGCTAAGGGAAGAAACAACAGCAGGACGACATGGTAAATTATGAGGAAGTGAAATGTGTGCGTGTGCGCCTGTATGCGAAGCTGTGTTTATTTACTTTTTCTTTTATTGGTTTAATGAAAGAGTGGCAGTGCAACGAGACGATCGATATATCATAAGCGCCAGCGTATGCGGATCCGAGGGAAGTGTGTCATCATTATTTTCTCGCTCACTTATACGATTATCCCTCGACTTTCTTATCAAACCTTTCTTATTCATTTTTAGTATTAACTTAAAAAAAAAAAAACAGTCTTTAAGCGCGTGCGTGTCCCTTCCAAAGACGGCTAAATTTTCTCGGGAGGGTGCTTACACTCAACGGAGTCTCTTATGGAAGGAGATTGCGAACGAGGCTAATACGAAAGTAAAGGAAACATATAATCGTGAACGGGAAAACACAGTAGAATAGAGAGAGAGAGAGAGAGAGAGAGAGTGTGTGTGTGTGTGTGTGTGTGTGTGTGTGTGTGTGCGTGTGTGAGAGAGAGAGAGCCGTCAACATCATGCCCGAGTCCGCTTGTTTGACGATCAATATTCTTCATACTTAGAGTTGTGCGACCCTATTTTTATTTATTACATTGTGAAAAAGAGAAGGGAAAACAAATTCACAGTAATCGCGCCCCTTGATGAAAAGCAATGAATTTTTTCACGGCTCGAAAATGGCTTACGGAAAGCCGTGGAGGGTACAGGACGAAAGGAAACGGGTCGGTGAAGAAGGGAGGTATTGCGGTGGTACTCCGACGACGTTTTGACCCACTTTCGTTTGGCGGTGGCGGAGACGGCGACGGCGACGACGGCAGCGGCGGTGGCAGCAGTGGCGGTGGCGGTGGCGGCGACGTTTCCCTCGCGTTGCGTCCGGATTTTCCACCCCTCGGAAGGGCGTCCACATTCACTCACTCACTCACGCATTCGCGAACCAACACACCTGGGTTAGCTCGAGCGGCCAACCCACTCTCACCCTCTCCTTGAAACCACGACAGGGCGAATCCCCTCCTCAATTGGCGTTTCGCTGGGAGTGCGCAACTTGCACGTCGACATCTCCGCCAGGAGCCCCCCCTTTTTTTGTTTTCTTCTTTATTCCCAAGTGGAATCGCATGTACGTCATCTATGCGCATCCGTCAGGAGTGGAAATGCGTTGGATAAGGCTGCGTCCGCGTTATA